GCTAGAGGCTGCCGCCCGGCTGCTCCCCCCACCTGCAGGTCCGGTTCCGTGTTTCATGGAGCACGAGCTCAGGCCTGGACGGGCTGTGGTGAGCGCCAGCTTCGATGACGGCATGGACATGGGCAGTGGTGGGCACCACGGCCGGCACGCTCTGGTACGTCAGCTGGGCGAGGCGCCAGCACCCCGCCTCGTCAGCGGCCACCGGAGCCCCCCGGGGGCCTAGGTGAGGCCGCCAGGGCCCGCGGGAAGAGGCCCCGGGGGTTTCCGGCCCAGCGAGGCGCCAGGGCGGAAGTGTTTGTTGGTACCCTCGGGCCCCGCCCGCCCAGTTCCACGTCTGGCCGTTTTGGCCAGGAACAGGGGACTTGCCGAGTGCACGTGGATCCCTGGATGTCGTCTGTGGTTTGGCGTGGCGTGACACGGGAGTCCCATAGGCTGCCACGCAGGTCTCTAGCTCCTTCCTGTCCTCCGCGTCACTTCCTGTCCCCTCCTCCTCACCTTCACAGACTGGCCTTGCCGATGCGGTCCTGTGGGTCAGGTTATGGTGGGGTCTGGCTCAGGGCTGGGCCAGGTTCAGGTCACGTCCAGGCCATGTTTGGGTCAGGTTCTGGTCAGGTTCAGGTCACGTCCAGGCCATGTTTGGGTCAGGTTCTGGTCAGGTTCAGGTCACGTCCAGGCCATGTTTGGGTCAGGTTCAGGTCACGCCAGGCCATGTTTGGGTCAGGTTCAGGTCACGTCCAGGCCATGTTTGGGTCAGGTTCAGGTCACGCCCAGGCCATGTTTTGGTCAGGTTCAGGTCACGTCCAGGCCATGTTTGGGTCAGGTTCTGGTCAGGTTCAGGTCACGTCCAGGCCATATTTGGGTCAGGTTCTGGTCAGGTTCAGGTCACGTCCAGGCCATATTTGGGTCAGGTTCTGGTCAGGTTCAGGTCACGTCCAGGCCATGTTTGGGTCAGGTTCTGGTCAGGTTCAGGTCACGTCCAGGCCATGTTTGGGTCAGGTTCTGGTTAGGTTTAAGTTCAGGTCCAGTCCGGGTCATGGCTGGGCCGGCCCCACCGCCCCCTGGTGACCTAGCTGTGCTCCCTGGAGCACATGGGCTGCTGGCGGCTGAGTGACGGCTCCCAAGACCGTGGCGGCCTGAGTCCTTGGTTCCTCTCCTGCTGCCCAGTGTCCGGGAGACGCAGCCTCGGCAGCTCTCAGTCTCCCTGGGCACAGCCGGGGTCAGAGCGGCAGTAGAGGAGCCTGATTCTTCCCCTGTGGGACCAGGTTTCCAGGTGCCGGGTTGGTCCCCAGCACCTAGCATCAACGGCAGTGAGTTCCACTTTTTCTGTTGAGACAGGGTCCAGGCTGGGGTGCAGGGGTGTCATCACGGCTCACAGCAGCCTCTACCTCCTGGGCTTAAGTGATCCTTCTGCCTCAGCCTCCCAAAGTACTGGGATCACAGGCATGTGCCACTGTATCTGACTGAGTTTTCCTTTTTGAGTGTTTTAAGAGCTCCTGGCCCTGCAAGTGTCTGGGTTCTGCTTCCCTGTGGCTCATTGTTTCTTTTGCTGCTTATAGAATCCTGTCTTCAGTGGGAGGCTGAGTCGATTTCTTATTTTTTTTAGAAACTTATGTTTAGAAATTTATTTATTTATTTTGGTGATGTCAGCCCAGCCCTGTGCCAGCCTGTGGACCAAGGACGGGCGGCTTCGTCTACCCCTGCCACGCGGCCATCGTGGTCCTGCGCGTTGACACGGGGGAAGCCAGCGCTTCCTCCTGGCCACACGGACAAGGTGGGTGCTGCCAGCCCAGGCGTCTCACCTGCAGACGCCAAGAACAGCCCGCGGAAGGACTTTCCCGAGAGGCGTGGCCTAGCCCGCACCTCCTCTGCTCCGCAGGTCTCCGCGCTGGCGCTGGACAGGGGCAACGTGCTGCTGGCCTCTGCACAGGTGCGGCCCCCTGCGTGCTGCGGCTCTGGGACTTCAAGACCCAGGCCTGCCTGTCGCTGTTCCGTAGCCCCATGCACGCCGTCAGCGCCCTCAGGTGGGCTTGGGTCTCCACGTGGGGGTGGGAGGGGGGGTGGGTGTGTGAGGGACAGCCCGGGGACGCTCACCGCCTCCTCCACGTCCACAGCCTCTCTGACAAGCGGCGCCCTTCTCTGTGGAGTCGGCAGGGACCGCCACGGAGGACGGTAACAGCCCTGGCCAGGGCGTGGGCGGGACGTGTATAGGAAGTGCCAGACAGGGTCTTTTCTAAAAACATACCTTCGTGCATCTCGTTTTATTAAAGCAACGTGGGTTTTTTTTTTTAAAAAAAGCCCATGTGATTATGGATTAAGGCAGAAATGTTGTCTATGGACAAGAGTCTATGGATTAAGGGCAGAAATTTTATTTGGAAATATAGTCTTTGACAAAAATTTTTAAAAAGCCCAAATGACTCAGGAAATTCCAGCCCTGTGTACCTGGGCTCTGTGCAACCTGGTGTGTGCCCCCCCTCCCCCGAAAGACCCCGCAAGGTCACACCTCACGCTTCCACTTTTCTTTTCTTTTTCTTCTTTTTTTTTTTGAGATAGAATCTCGCTTTGTTGCCCAGGCTACAGTGAGTGCCGCGCATCAGTCTAGCTCACAGCAACCTCAATCTCCTGGGCTCAAGCAATCCTGCTGCCTCAGCCTCCCGAGTAGTTGGGACTACAGGCATGTGCCACCATGCCCAGCTGATTTTATATATATATATTAGTTGGCCAATTAATTTCTTTCTATTTATAGTAGAGACGGGTCTG